CATTTCAGTAAAATCACCTGAACCTGCCTCACGCCCATTTCGAATGCGTTTAGAGTTGGCGATTTGACTCCTGTTATTTCCTTGATCAATGCAATCAATATTCATTTCACCATAGTCAGTTATACAACCCCTATATGGAACCGATTCCGCAAGCTTTCATAACCAGCTGAATAGCTATCGCCGAATTGCGGCGTCATTCCAATAGCTATCTTTGAACACGATCTTTCTCATGGGCCCTGAAAGTACGTGAAAAACGGATCCATACAAGTTTTCAGTCTTGCCTCTTTACCATGATGTGGCTTCTAAAACCTGTGTGACTCGTGCTATTAAACGAATGTAATGTATTTAGTAATGAATGTAATCGATCATTCATTCATCGACTTCCAGGCAACGCTTCTTGCCTGTACTTACGGGCAATGGGGTTAAAGATGAGTGAAAGATACGTGATAGCCGTAGGTCTTCTATTTTTATCGGCTATTTCGTTTCTTTCACTATATCTACTTCCATCAAGCGGCACCGATGAGTTACTTGGGAAAGAACACATCGTTCCCCACGTCAGAGATCTTGAAGCTCGGTAAGCAAATTTTTAACGTTGATTTTTCTGAAATGAAAACTTGTGTTACAGGAAGCTCATGCAAGAAAAGCAAGCCGCAGAGCTTCAGAAAAAGGCCGAAGAAGCTGGAATCGTTGCACCACCAATACCTAAACCTGAAATTGCTGCCGGTGATGATAGCGATGCACGACGAATAACAGTGAAACAGGCAAGGTTTTTAAGATGATACCATCAAAGCTTACCGGACTTTCAAGAAGTTCAAATTTCATTATAGATGGCTAAGTTTGCATGGGACGGCTACAGAAAGTACGCTTGGGGTGCCAATGAACTGCGACCGATTTCAAAAACTGGTTAGTATTTACTAGTATTTCAGCTCAGCTTTTACCATTCTCCTTGCCTTGCTCATCTTTTCTTTTATTTGTTATTCATTCGTTTGCATTTATTAATTCACAAGGCATGCTCCCGTTACCACTACCTAATAGTTTAATTGCTTGTTCCTTAAAAAATGAAACGCTTTTCTCAACTACTTATGTACCTCCACCTTATTTTAACTAGTCAAGTTATACTTTTTAACAATCCTGTGGAACCCTTAATCCTCCCATCTGGTTCTTCATATAGTCCAACATCGAATCCTTACTGTTTCATGAGAACAGTGATGTTCTATCCAACTATTGAGGACTCCCATGTAAAAAAAATAGAATCACAACCATTCAGGTCATTCTGCTTCTGTCTTCGGGACGGGAGACACGGGTGCAACGATAGTGGATGCCATCGATACGTTGTGGATCATGGGTCTGAAAGAGGAGTACGAGCAAGCTCGAAGTTGGATCAAACTCAGCTTGGATTTCACTCGAACAGCGGTTCGCTGACTTTTAGTCAGACATTATAAAGATATCTTTGGCTAATTATTATAGTTTTTCTTTATTTAGAAAGGCGATCTGTCCGTTTTCGAAACGAACATTCGATTTATCGGAGGCCTCCTATCGATCTATGCCCTCACAAACGATAAAGTGAGTTTTATATCTCAATAACCCTCCTACCATTCTATGACCTCTTTACAGATGTATGTCGAGAAAGCTGAAGAAATAGCTAAACTTCTTTTACCTGCTTTTGATACCCCTACTGGTATTCCCTATGCTGTTGTAAATGTTGTGACTGGTGAGTCCCATCAAAGTTCGATGCAGTGACTTACTATTGTTATTTCCACTTACTTCCTACGTATTGATTGGACCATGTGTGCTTTTGTCTCAAACTGCGTTATTATGTTGAAGGTTCCGCCAAGAACTATGGTTGGGCCAGTGGTCAGAGCTCAATTCTGTCTGAATTCGGTTCATTACAATTAGAATTCGACTATTTATCACATATCACAGGCAACAAAATCTACTCAGACAAAGTATGTCCAATCAAGCTGCAATGTCGATCCCTTTAATGATTTTAATATCAGATTAAACGGATTCGAGAATTCTTGACTGCAATGGACAAACCTAACGGGCTCTATCCGTTATATCTGAACCCGAAAACCGGCAAATGGGGATCATGTAAGGTTTTCGTTATTTTCTTTAGGGGTTAAGCCCTTATGAAGATAGTTCTATTTCAGTGGACCATTCTATTGGTGCTTTGGGTGACAGCTTTTACGAATACCTTTTGAAACACTGGTTGATCACAGGGAAGACTGACGACCATACTAAAAAAGAGTACGATGCTGCTGTTTTTGCTATGGAGAAAAAGATGCTGTATAAGAGCGAACAGAACGGCCTATGGTAATATAATGATTATTTAGTTTCAGTTGATAAAATTCCTTATTACCCACATTAAAACGAAATCATTCTATAACAGGTACTTTGCTAACCTTCATGGAAGTCGTGTGGTTCATAAAATGGAACATCTTGCCTGTTTCTCGGGAGGAATGTTTGCCCTTCAATCAGCGAATGAACATAATGCCACTGTAGCGGTAAGGCCGCGTTTCTATATAAGATATGGATAAAACATTAATTGAAATTCTTGTAAAATAATTTAAGAATCATTATTTGGAACTTGCGGAGAATTTGGCCCATACGTGTCATGAATCCTATATCCGAACTGGTTCGTTCTTAATTAATTTGTCCAGTATTACTGTAATCCAGACCTGCACTTCGTGCTCTCAATCATCTGAAATGATGTTGTAGCAACTGGACTCGGACCAGAAGCATTCCGGTTTACGAGCGACAATGAGGCCAAGGCTGTAGCCAATAATGAGAAATACTACATTTTGAGACCTGAGGTAAGTTTTCGCCACCAATTCTTCATCTCGAGAGGTTATTGAATACGAAGTTAAGGTGGTTGAAACCTGGTTCTATCTCTGGCGCATCACAAAACAGGACAAGTATCGAGAATGGGCCTGGAATGTCGTATTAGCTCTAGAAAAATATGCTAAAGTGAGTTTCCTACTACTTTCTTACTTATCTAGCTTTTTTTGTTTTCTAAATATCCAAACCCGAGGCGCCCAACAAAAAAACATCCCTTCACCCTACAATTATGGTATGAATTATTGTTATGGTTTCAGGTGGAAGGCGGCTATTCTGGAATTCAAAACGTCTATAGCGTTCCAGTGGAACATGATGATGTACAGCAATCATTTTTGTTCGCCGAACTTTTCAAATATTTGTATTTAATATTTGCTGACGACAACATTTTACCGCTAAATGCATGGGTCTTTAACACGGAAGCTCATCCATTTCCTATTCGCAAAAAATAACGTACTCTGCTAATATTGGGATATTATTCAGGGAGATCTTTCATGTGATGGAAAGCCACTTGAAACGGTTGTATGTGCATGCTGTAGCATGACTGACAGTCACTTTTAGAGTAGTGTTAGTTTTTCTACGCTGAATTCGGAGGGCCTTAAATGCCAGTCGTTTCCTTTTTTGAAACAATAGCATTATTAACTTTTTTTAATTACCTCAAATAGTGTTAAATGGGTCAGTATAATGGTTACGGTCTCTTATCTGCGTAATTATGTAATCACTACTATTTTCGGCCTCTCTCAAATTAATGTACAAAAAATATGACTGGTATGGGACAAATATCAAGTTAACACCTTATACTGAAAAACTTCTTTTCTCCTGAGTTGTTAGGGCGGAAAAATTAACGCTACTCATCCATTTACTATAACATACAGTAACCGTTTCACGTACGCTTTCCATTCTGCAAAACTTCACTGGTCTATACCTAAGGGGTGAACGGGACGACTGCTTGGGTCAGTAACGAAAATTCGAAATTGTTTGTTCTTGCTTTTGAGCGAGCCCTTGTACTTTGAATACCTTAAGCTTGAGCGTGAAAGCTCACGGGATCCAAAGTACGGGGCTTACTCAAGAGCAAGGACAGAATTGAAAGCTTAGAAGTAATTCTAAGATACCAAAAGTTAGTTCACCTAAATGTGCATTAATGTACGTTTTGATAAACTGATCCTTCAAACTCTCTTACGACCCTTGCAGTGATCCGTAAATCATTTTAATGGGTAAATATTACCTATAAATCCGCTGCGTCCATTGCATGAACTTATGACTTATTCGTAATGCTCAAAGCACAGACTGCATTACTGCAATGAGTTACTATTGAGAGTACCACATGGGTATACAATATGCATTATCATGCCATGTATTATTCAAATTTTAATGCTACCGAGTCGCGAACGTTGTTTTTTCCTGTCCCAGTAGCTCCGGAGCACCGGTTAGTGCGGTATCACTTGAAGCTTTCAATTAGATGCGTTCCAAGCATAGAAACACGGGAACTGCCGCAAGTTTGTCAAGGACCGCGTCCCACTATCGAACTTGCCTGCTGCTCATATGTACAAATGAAAAGTAACTGCTAAGTTATTGAAACAGTTGTGATGAATTTATAATTATTATTGTCAACAAATGTGCCAGCGTATTATGTAAATGGTATTATTGATTATTGATTGTTTAATTTAATAAATGTGCTTTATAAACAGAATTTGAATTTGCTGGTATTATTGTGTGGCCATTATTATCTACCCCAAACTCCTAAAAGCCTCAGTAACTAGTTACTATTCCATTAATTTCAAACTAATCAATTGAATGACCAGTACTCTGTGATGGACTCTGTGATGTAACTGGTTGAAACCCCACAGTGGAGCGCGATGCCGCCCATACCTGGGATTCCGTGCAATTTCACAGAGGACGGGGCTTCCCGTTACCGTTGCCGTAATCGACCGCTACTTCTTTTGCTGGGTGGTTCGAAACGATGGTTTCCAATGCTATGGGAAACCATAGGTGTTCCCAGACAAAGTAAATAGTAAATAAATAAATGGAGTAGACAAAACACCAAGTCAAAGTAAATACTGACATTATTTGCAATTTTTGCCAAAAAAAGGTTAGTTTAAGAGTGGAAATTTTTCTGCGTATTCACTGATATCATTACTTTGACCACGTTAAATACGTGAGAATCAAAGGCTCTATCACTACACTAAGGACTCAAACTTTGGCAATGCATGCTCTTCCTCTGACTCCACCACAATATAGTTCTTGATATGATTCCCTAGCTCTCAAGACATGATTCATTAGCCATCCCCCAGTGGAACGATAATGATAATGCAAGTAAACATTAAATAAATAAATGTCGGCCGCAAGGTCTCCTCGGCGAAGGTGATGATCACAGATTCACATTCCTTCGTAACCTCACCATTATTCACTCTGTACGGTACATTTAAAGACTTTACAATTAATGGTTTCTTGAGGCAGCAATGTGTTGCACAGCGAATAATATCTACGTTTAGAAGTTGTGCTCCGTGGCAGATGGGAGTGAAAGGGCATTCTCCACTTCGAACTGCAATCGCGTAACCAAACAACTACTAGATCCAATAATATTGCAGCCAGCTCTGCAAATTGATACGAATGTGGGAGAAAAGCGCCTAGAACCAGACAACTGTATAATGGTGGATTTCAACACGATAAAGCTCTACAACAAGTACTCCTGTTCAGTGACAGAACTTATTTATTTAAGCTTGAGTGGGATGCCTTACAGCGCCTGGCCTATAGTCCTACCCTGACACTTGGGAACCATCGGCTATCTACAAAAGTGATCAACAGAAACAAACAGACTCAGGTAGAAATGCAAACAGCAACTAGAACAGTTTGTTGGCACCAAGGCAGAGAAAATTCTAGAAGATGATGAATGAGGAAGGATGATAATCCGCCACTACAAATTAATATACCCAGTGCTATATACCCTTTCTTACTCAGTATTCCCATAGAACTTCCTACCACCCTCGTACAACACTTTTCTTCGGGCCATTCAACCCAAAACCTCGTGGTAACGAAACTACACACAAATATGTATATTGATATCCCAACGCTTCTTGCCCAAAACTCCAGCAAACACTAATGAGGTTGTAAAGTTTTTGAAAACCTGATACTTTCAATATTGTGTGGTGCTCTTACCACGCTCCTGAGCCTGTGGTCATAACCAGAATCCCCTGACGGTGGTTTGGAGAAGAATCTGCACCACCGTGAAAAATTAACGGGGTTTAGAGGTAATTGAACACAATTTTACAATGACGGGCTAATGAATTAGTGGTACACCTACAACAGCCACTATGACTAATAACTGTGTATGTACCACGTGGTTTAGGGAATGGTCGTCATTTGTTACTCAGAAAAGTTCAGAAATCTATTTGAGACCGCTATGGGGCAGTGCAATCTACAATTCACCAGTGTTAATGCTGACGATGAGGGGATCATTAAAACCAATAAACTTATATGCTCTGACTGAATCAACCTTAAATCCAACCGTTGTAGAAGACAAGCACGAAGTTAGCACCACCCACGATAGGTCATAAATCAATGTAACAGTGTAAGTTTANCACAATTTTACAATGACGGGCTAATGAATTAGTGGTACACCTACAACAGCCACTATGACTAATAACTGTGTATGTACCACGTGGTTTAGGGAATGGTCACCATTTGTTACTCAGAAAAGTTCAGAAACCTATTTGAGACCGCTATGGGACAGTGCAATCGACAATTCACCAGTGTTAATGCTGACAATGAGGGGACCATTAAAACCAATAAATTTATATGCTCTGACTGAATCAACCTCAAATCCAACCGTTGTAGAAGACAAACACGAAGTTAGCACCCCCACGATAGGTCATAAATTAATGTAACAGTGTAAGTTTACCAAAATTCGCTAAAAATAATTACGGTTGTGGCCGCCCTCTGATAAATGCAAGAGAATACTTCAAACGCTGTCAAGTTTCCCACCATTCAAGTTGCTTGAAATAACGAATAGGTTACTAATCACGGTAGAGCAAATTCCGGGGCCACTCATCTGGTAATTAACTATTGCCACTGAAAGATCTTTGACAGTCACTATTTGAAAACGTTGACAGAGCTAAAAAGAGATCTCCTTGGTAGCAATAGGTTCACACCATAATGACTCGCGATTGATCCCCATGAACTTTCTCCTTATAGCTTCAACATTTTCACTTCGATGAATTACTAATACCCAACATTTATACGTAAGCGAGTCAGCCAGCTGGCCAAGAACGGTGGCGAACTTACCATTCTCACTGGAACTTTCTAATAATTGGTGTTAACGATGAATAAAGATGAAAATATTGCCGAAATAAACACGATAGAAATATGGAATTTCTTTAAATTAGGAAACAATTTAATCATATGGAAATTTTTCCGGGAAGTATAAATGTATTTAGAAATGAATACATTCTGACCATTTCGCGTGATCACCAAATGGAACATTTCAGCGTAAACTATGACAAAAAGCTCAATTCGAGCTTCAAAACCTTTTGCCATACCTTATCTCTAGCTATAGCCTGCTGAATTAATCATAATTCTATAAAAAACAAATGAAAATTATAAACTGCAATCTATCGCAACAGTACACATTGTTATTAAAAAAGCAAAAATAGAAGCTGATGAGAAGTCCATCCTACATTCGCAGAGAAATCAAAAATCAAAACAGAAGTCAAATTTCCAAAAGACGTGTCGCAATGGTCACGTCTATCGTGCTAATCGAAATTCCCACGGCTCTAATTTATCCATGACCAAATGGTACTTTCGCAATTACAAAATAAACAATGCTTGTTAAGCATAAACAATTTTGGACGTATTTAAACATCTTAAATTCAAAATTCACTATCGAAATGAAGCCCAACCAATATGACAACACTCTGAGCTCACACTCACCAAAAGGACAAGTCAGTGACTATTACTTTCGGAAACATTATCTTACCCTAGAAACCACTTACCTCATTTGAAGAGTAACTCGCTCAAAAATCATTAGCTCACAGCGTTTCTACCAGATGGAATTTTAGGCCTTTTGTAATAAGAGCACTAATTCTTACCTATACTAGACATCATCTGAAAAGAGCACTTGATTTCGCGCGGAAGTTGGTCTCGGGCGTTCGATTTAGCGCAACGGTGACAAAGATCAATACTCTGAAGAAGGCCGAAACGTCAGCTTAAAAAAGTTCGTAATCTCGAGAATGCTCAAGCCATTACTATAACAACTTAGTAGGTCACTAGCTTCAGAGCATAGTGGGTCCCAAAATTTCGCATTTGCGTACGTCATATAGGGCACAAGAGGACAAGCCTGAAAAAGTCTTGAAGTAAAGTGTAGACGTCCCTAATGTCGCCCAAACAAAAAATGCCCAATTATACACCAAAAGTAGTGCACGCTGAATCAGACAATCAAACTTCCAACATAGTTTGCTGCAAAATTTGAAAATAGCGAGAACAACCGATGGGCACCCTAAAAAAGAAATTCAGCGTGTGGCTAAAAGTCCAGTATTCCTACTCGTAAACAGAATGCCCGGATGGGGAAAGGGAGGAACACTTCGGGGGAATAGTTCCAGGGGGCGCGAACTTTAAAATGTCATGCTTTCGTTGGCGCAGGTCAGACTAGTGACGGTGGAGCTAGCCCCTGCCCTAGCAATCAGCATATGGGCCATAAAGTATCGAGAAACGGGCAGCTGTATGGATTAGGGACAGTGATTCTGCACTGACTGGATTTCAGCCTTTCCGCTGGTTCACTACAGCTATTTTGGACAAAACGACAAAAGTTGTGTCTGATCTGTTGCTATTCAATGTGCGATCCTTGATATGACCAGCTTAAGATGATCGGTAAAGAAAAAGTATCAGACCATAATTGAATAGTTTCAATTTGAGAAAAATTCCAATAAAAGCTGGAAAATGGGAACAGCTTATTACAGAAGACAGAACATAACCTACCTACCTACCTACCTTCTACCGACGGTTGGAGAGAATCAATGTTCCCACCGGGGAGGTCAATTCCAACCAATACCACCATCACTCTTTAAAGTATTTCAAAGTATTTAATTCATAGGAAAACGTTGCACCGCAAAATATGTGGTACGTGACTTCTTGCGGAATGCCTGGTTGTAGTAAATAGGACCGATTCGCACAATGCATGTAAATCTTGAAAACTGCTTAGTAAACTGACTTCTTTTTTGAGAAATTTATGTGACGTTATGTAATATAATGTGAAAAATGCGACAAAATAATGACAATCATGACAAGTAAATAAAAAATGGACATAACTGGAAATGCTTACTAGGAGCATTTTGAGAGGTTTCGAATAGTTACGCTAAAATATAAGCGTTACTGGTCCAGTAGGTACAAATGCATGATTTACATGATTATTATCGAAGCTAAAGCCTTTCACATTCAGCAATGGCTGTTACTAGTTCACTGAAATTCACTTTACCAATATATATCTCTATTATCTAATCTAATTAGGAGTTACGCTCATTTACAGTTGAATATTCTCCCAACAGAGTTTGATGGATCATAAGGTGGCCTCATGTAGTGACACACTATCGATCCACCAGCCACGCCGTGCGCATGGCTGCAACGCGTATCACTGCTGTGATTGAGTGACGCAGGCAGTACACTCTATTTTATCTAGAAGTCGGAAAGAAGAAAAGAAAAAAGATCTCAGTGTGTGTTCCCTTAAGTAAAGTTATGCTATCTCCTAAGTCCTTCTGATTAGAAGTCCAATCTTCACACTTACAGGAGGGACATCTCAAAACGGTTCCCCTTTTGCGATTCCTGCCGTATCTATCAATCAATACGAAAAACTACTTATCTCATGGGCTCGAAATCACTAATTCACCGGAATGACAACATCCAACACGAGAGGAGAGCAAGAAAGGCAGAGGAACGTATGGTTTAGACACCGCCTCCAGATCGATTCACGCCTGGCGTTCCATGCATCTCGTCCAAATACAGAACCAAACGGTTGGCACTGATCTGTCCACCTTTCAGTCCAGAGTACAACTGAAGACATGGTGACAATTAATTTAAAAAGGTAAAGTTGAATTCCGAAACAAAATTTGAAATTCGAAAAGAATGAGGGGCATGTTTCCCTACCTGGAAGAACTCAGCAATCTCGATTTCACCGTTCTTGTTCAAATCGACTTCATTCAGTAACTCGTGCAGCACTCGTTCATCAATCTTTTGATTATGTTCCTGAAGAGCACAGAATAACTTGCATCAACATCACAGAAATTCCTTGGAAAATAGTCAAAAAATTAGGCAGCATACTTTTAAATATATAATGATAGACTGGGAATTTCAAAAACAACAAAACAATACACTGATTTAAAAAGAAACAAGCGAATAATGCGAAAGAAAATAAACTCACTCTAAAGTGACGCCTGAGGTCGTTGACAGTGATGTGTCCCTTTTTGTCCCTGTCCAGACTGTTAAAGCGATCTTTGGCAGCCTGCATTTCCTCTCTGAAAAGATCATGTTTCGTATGGAAGAAGTATGGCAAGCAAAAAAAAAATTTAAGGTTCCCAGAAGGATTTCCAATTCTATGTATGCAGCTAAGCGACAAGGGTAGAATTCACAGGATAAGTTACCGTCGTTTGTTGTTCATCAACTTCAGATGTATGTATATCGCGCACATTCAACCAATATTAGGTCAATATCACTCAGTGGGCCCTTTCAGACTTCAACGTGCGACCGACCGGCAACGTTGTCAACGCGTGGGCAGTAACGCTATCGGTCGGTCGCACGTCGTTGAAGTCCTAAAGCACTCACTAAGGGCGAGTTTTAGATCTAATAATAAAAAAAAATAATCAATTACAGATAACTCGAAGTAGAAGCCACTGACGCTTTGTTGCCGTAAGATCCATAAGAGGATTCGTAAGTAATAAATTCGAAAATCTGTGGAAGTAACTCAGATTTAGTCCACCGGTAAGGGTCAGAAGACGCCGAAGCGGGTGCGAGCGCGAAACAGCCGCGTGCGGCGTATCCACTACGTGTTATCTGTAGCACAAATGCCGCCTTAGGTAGTAATCTGGTGGACACGGACCCATACCTGTAATAGTAATTCGGTGATCTAAGATTGTTCGCTACTCTTCCACCCTTGTAAGGAGGCGCTATTTCAGAAACGACTATTTGAAGAAAAGCTGAGCTATACACCAGTTTTTCCTTTAACCCTTTGACGACAGCGAGGCTCAACGGTGAGCCGTGGAAGCGGAAAGCTTCGAAATGCGTCTGTCCCGCGCGCCAGACACGCAAAAAGGCGCGTTGTTGTCAAAGGGTTAAAGGGTGATATGTATCCAACTAGCCGTTCCTTCATTCTAGACAGGAAAGACGTGACTCAAATAAATTCCAATAATGAGCAGGTCAGTGAGGTACCGCAAAATAAATTCGAATTGGGAAATAGGGTTTTCAATCCAACTTGATTCCAAAAACCAGAATACAGGGCAAACCTCTGAATTAGAGTAATCGCAAGAGACCTCTGAAAAGTGGAACACGACGCTGCTTTCCTATTCCCTAGTCTGATACCCGCATTGCGAAAAATCAACGGTCAAATTGAAAGATCTCATTCGAACACAAAATGCAGGTACTCACAGAGTGATTCAGAGTACAGAAAATGAAGCAAGGAATGCAGGCTTTTTGTAACTAAGGTTGCCTTTGTCTTGAGCCATGCTCTTCGTGATTATTTTTTCAAATTTCACATTTTCAAAAAAAAAAGGAAAATGGCGTGAATTTTATAATGTTGAGAAATAACGGGGGAACGTTTTACTCGTTTATCTCTAGATCTCTTGGCAATAGAATATCTTGAACGCCAAACGGCTCCTTTCATTTCTTTTGTGATTTTTCTGATTCTTTTGATGATGACTTTTCACTGTCCGATGTTTTCCTAAATCCAAAACTCTGATTTACATTTGTAAGCAAACGCTCAAGAAACAAGTCGAGCTGAGTTGAGAGCAGGCATCCCTGGCGGAATGTCACCAGGCCCTATAGCTGTGGCCAGGTCACCTGTAGGTGGCAATTTTCCCATTAATTACATTGGAAAGCGAAATTCACTAGCTGTAGGAGCATAAAACGTATCCTTGAAAAAAATCAGGGATTGTGGGGAGCCGAAAAAAAGGCTGAGATGGGAGGAAAAGCACATAAATTTGCCAAAAATTGTACTATTGACGACTTACTTGGTGAGATTGAGTGAGACGTTGCTGGCGGCGTTCTGTTTGGCGAGTTGACCCATCTCGACGTCGATGAACTGACGTGCTCTCTCCAGTTGAGCTCGTTGTTCTGCTGATGACCACCCGAGCTCCTCAGCCATGATACGCACTACCTTAAAAAGGTCCGTAAAGGCATCGTGATGCGGAGCCAATGGACCACTTTCATCCCGCTATTTAATCCTTTACAACAATTCTCCTGCGAATAATACCGCAAACGTTATGGACTTGAATAACCCTTCTAGCTCAAACTCACATCAGGAAGAACTTCATGGGCGGCATGTGTGTTTAAGAATGCAAGCCGTGTTCGCCTTGCAATCACATCGATAGCTGTGCAGGCATACTCACGTACGGCATATCGTACCTAAATGATCTGCAGCTAAAAACAGCCGCAGCTTTCAAAACCATCCACTAATTCTTTGCAATAAGAACGTCAACTTCGGCCCTGAGCTTCAACAAAGTGATTAGAGTTGTAAGCAGACGCGTTGAGCAAAAGTTGCGTGGAAAAGAACCGCACAAACAAAGAGTCGCCCTCAGATTCTCTCTCTATTTTGGTAATAGGCCATCTCTGGGAAGAACGTGAGAGAATTACCCAACAGTCAACCTCCCCATACATTTGATCCCAAAAAACATGGCATACATTCAGGAGAGTCCTTAACTTTGAAAAGTCTGCAGCACATGGCACTTCCCAAGTGACCGACCTGTGTTGTGCAATATAACTCAAAGTGTAAAGTTCGCTCCTTCGCTGGGAATCCAATAAACTTTCCTTTAAAACACAGTCCAAGGTGCGAAATACAAAGAGGCACAACTTCCGGAACTCGCACCAAACAACTGCGCGCTCCAGCCTACCCTACTCCGGAAAAGGGTTCAATGGGAAATGAGGCAAAGAGGGCTTATTTGTCTAACCGAAAAAATCCTCTGAAAGCGAAATCGTGAAACCAGCACAACCTTTTTGCTTCTATTGTACAAGTACGAACCCTCTGACTCGGGACCCGGTTACGAGCTTGACGCGGACTATCAAGAAATTCGCTCACGCTGCTTAGTTGCAATTGTAACGAATATAAGAAAGGACGTACTTCAGCATCCAAGTACGGGAATTCCTGATGTAGACGAGTACCGATGATTGGCCATCGCTTGCCAGTCATCTTGCACATTCGTGCCACAACGAAAGCTCGATCACCATACGTGTGGGCCAAATGTTGTGCTACCTAAATGTTGACATTTATGGACATCCTAGCGCCCGTAAAATCCTGTGAATGTTTCATTAGAAACTTAGCTGATTACCGAAACTATAATTAAAACCAAACGAACTGAATAGAAACTCACATCAACTTCAAGACCGTAATCCTGTACTAGATGGATGTACATTAGGGGGTCGTATTCATGTCCACCTTCCAACATCAAACCAGCAGTAATGCAACCGTTCGTTGGTTTTAAGTTGTGTGCCTAAATCGGAAACAACTTGGCCATGAAGTATCTAATAACTAAAATATCGAGACATTTCTTCAACGAGGCCGCCGATGAAGCCGAGCATCGGCAACCGTAGCCCTTGACTTCGGTCCTCAGGCTGAGCGATTAGATTTTAGCGAAATGGCAACAATGGACTCTACCACCCCAGCTCAGATGTGATCGATTGTTTGAAACAATTTGATCAATAGTTCGCACAATTATCGATACTTTGTGAAATGATGGGCAAAAACCTTGAGAATAACGACAATCGGTTACCTTGATACAGGCGTCCATTGCCTCTTCAGCCATGTGCCTGTAAGTTGTCCACTTTCCACCCGCTATCGTGATCAAACCAGAATCCGAAACCTGAACAACCAATATTTTTCAGTAAAAATCCTTCTACAGCTGTAAAAATTGATCGTATTCATGCAATAGAAAAAGTCGCGTCATACAAAGTGTAAGTGACCAATTCAGCCCCAAGTCTATCATAGTATCTTGAAGTTTCACAACCACCATAAACCGAAGAATTTCTGTCGGTTGGCTTGGATGCATTCATCAAAATTTATACAACTCACTTCAATGATGTGATTTCTGGCTATGCTTTTCGTATCCTTCTTGTTCGGGTCACGTACAAGTGGTCGTAATCCTGACCATGCACTCATTACATCACCACGTCGAATAGACACGCTTTTGGACAGGTATCCACGGATCTCCTGAAAACAATGAATAAAGGATGTCTACTATACAAACAAATATTCAGTAATTATTCACTATCGCAACAGTCATATAAAATAGCCGTATGCCTTCATTTTCGTTCAGAAAGTCGCACATAGCGGCACAAAAAAAAAGTATGTGGATGTAAGGGCGCAACAATCTGGTGCTGTCCATTATCACTATCGGCGCGTGTGCTTTTTGTCAACCAACCTTTAGTATAAATTCGATATCAGCATCCGTGGGTATGGGAGATAGTGTAACTTCTGAAGGCGTGTCTGTTGTTCCAGCAATAGTCATACGTTCCCAAGGTAAAAAGAAAATTACACGGCCATCTGACGTATCCGGATCCAGGAGACCAGTGCTCGATGGACTGAAAAAAAGACGAAGGTGGTACTCAGCTTTCAATTCCTTTCAGAGTTCAATCCATCTCAGTTCTAAAGTGACATCCTTATGTAGAATAAATTTACCTGTAATAGCCAGGTAGCACAATGTGTACACCGGAACTCGGGGCGCAAATCGGTTTCGTCTTTGCATCAGCCATCACTCGAATCGTGTCCGTTAGTGGTCCCGTTGCATTGATGACTGCTTTAGCTTTGATATCCCATTCATTATTGGACATCTTGAATGAAAAGGTAAATGGAGGTACACGTAAGTTTTATTTTCTTCTAAAGCCGATAAAAAGAGCTCACCATATCTTTCACATGGGCTCCACATATCTTACCATTAGCATCTTTAAGTAAGCGCTCGACTCTGACATGGTTTGCGCACTAAAACACATCATTCAAAACTAGTTAGCATGGTGATGAAAGGCAGCGAGTACCCTAATGGTAAACCTCATAGCGGAGTGTTTTCAGGTAGTTAGTTGTTTCGCTAGCAGAACACCGTGTAGTGCGATATGCCTACTAGCGAGATGAGCTAAGGACGGCCGCCCGCTGGTAGTAGCCGGCTTCTTAGCCATTTGTCGACAATGGCACCCGCCGGTGGGTTCCACTATGACTGGCACATGGGACATTGCCACCCAATTTGGGAGACACTATATTTTCTTGTTTCTTACAATTTGCTGAATTAAGTAACCAGTAAAAGAAGTTTCTCCTGGGACAGTGCCACCCACCGATGGGTGCCGGTCGCCCGCGAAAGTAGGAGAGCGTGGTCCCACGTGCGCTTCACGTCGAAATCCGCATTGTCGTCAAAGGGTTAACTCGTCCACCGTACAAACATATTTCAGAATTGATGCTACAGCAGTTCATGCTTTCTTCCGTCAATTTTTCGGATTAAAAAGAAAGGATTCCTTTAGAACTGATATTCGAACTGTACATGTGAGGAGGTATACGGAAAGGGAGACTTACCTTGGCTCCATGCCTTATAGCGGTCAATACTATCGCTAAATTCATACGGGCATCATTGTGTGTACCATCGTAGTATATCAATGCTCCCTTGAGTGACTCGCTCTTCAACATGGGAAACCTTAATAATAGGCTCTCCGAAAACAGAAATAGTCAACAGTTTTACATGGTTGAGAATAGAAAATGAGTCGCAATGAATAAATTGAATCAAATTAAAGCTATTCAAGTAACTGTAACTCGCTATGCATGTACCCTTTCAAAAACTTATCAGAATTTTAGATAGTTACGTCTGAAATATTCTGAAATGTTGAGGATCTGTATTAGAAGGTCATTCAGAAGATGTCTTTTAGAAAAAGAGAGGTTTGGCACAATCTGGGGTCCAGGTTGGTCAATGTAAATTTATATAATTTGTGGTTTTTAATAAGCACTACGAGATGTAAATATTGGGCAAAAAATAGTTATGTATAAAAGATAAATGATGTATAAAAGACATGGATACAACGAAATATACTGTAGAAGTATATAGTGAAATAAAGCAATACACACCTCTCCATCGCATTTGCTTTACCAATGAAAAAGGAGTTTTTCAGCACTCGCCGACCAGATACCAAATCATAACACTTAATACCAAACCAGTAGTAAGGAACCTGCCACAACCTGAAGAAGTTATAAAGCATATCTAACAAGCACCGATCCGGCAATAATTGAAATTACGGTCAAGCTTACTTATATATAGGTAGCATAATAGGTAGCGGTCCACTGAGATGAGGTGCAATTTCTAGCAAGTTAGCTCGTTCAAATAAAGCTTCCTGAAAATTTTCACATAAGAACAGATTGGACTAAAACTTTTATGAGGACTTATTTACCTTAACCATCCGGTACTGCTCATAATCTGCCTTCATAATGGCTGCCTGCAAATATCGTACACCTCCATGGATAAGTTTTGTACTCCTTGATGAGGTGCCCGACGAAAAATCGTCCAATTCTACCAAAGCAGTTTTCAAACCTGAATGAATTGCAGCAGACTCAGTTTCGGGGTGAGACATGAATAAATAAACAAATAAATATGAGGAAGAGTGTAATCCAACTCATACCTCGAGTTTGAGAGTCCAGGGCGACACCAGCGCCAGTGGCTCCTCCACCGATAACTAAGACGTCATATTCTTCTCCACTCTGAAAGCACCAGAGATTTTCACGTGGACATGCTTGGCGTGCGAATGAAGTCACCAAGGTCATCTTGTCTCTTGATGATGGTCCCTAACCCCCCATCAGGAAATGACTTCAGAAACTCCTTTCTCATTCGCGGTATGTCTTCTACCTTCAGATAGAAGCTAGAAAAAAGAAGGCTTAGAAATTTAATGACTCACCTTCAGGGCATCGACTATTTCTTTTCTCGACGGCAAAGCAGACGACGGCCTTTTGTTCAAGTCAGCAAGTTTGTCAGCGTGTGCCGTGCGTAGTGCAAAGTATTGTTTCTGTAATGTAGGAATCACTATGGCACATGCTTTTTCCTAGCGCCTTTACTCGAAAATGTTCAGAAAATTCTTCAGAATTAGAATCCACTCAAACATACAGTCATGGTGGTAATAGGAGGCAATCTATTTCGCCTTCACTGCGCACGAAGAAATATGCTAACGATCACAGGTCGAATCCCAGGCGACTCTTTAGTGCTTTGCTACTTTTGACATGGAACAAACATCTTTGAGATGCTTTTGATGGGAGAACCCGCAAAAAAAAGTAATCCCTTGGAGCACAAGACCTTTCCTTTATGTTCACTCTTATAAAAAAGTATTCGTGGCCCTACCTAACGAGATTAAGATGAATTGTTGAAGAATGTATCGTCCTGCTTGGCCACATATTGCCAAAACAAACGAGTGAAACTTATTCAGAGGCAAAGTAACCAATAAAGGCACTTATCAAAGGGGGAGCGCAGACGGGATCAGTGGCTGCTTTCGGACTTCCACGATTTTACCACCGTGCGCGCCGGTAGAATCGCTGGCAGGATCGCGGGGCAGGACAAATCGAGGTTGACTAGTTTTTGTACATTTCGGTCGATACTCACACACTACAAAAACGGCGGTAGACACTCAAAATGCCCAAAAACTAGTTATCCTCGATTTCCGGTATCGATCGGTTCCCCAGTGCTGTCACATTATTGGCTAGAGCCGCCGTCGCAACGCGCTCGCTTGCACGCACGGCGATTATACCAGCAATTCTACCGGCGTGTCAGCGTGCACGCTGGTCGAAGTCTGAAAACAGCCAGTCAGGGCAAAGCGCATGGCGCTCAGCTGTGAAGCAAGGACTGAGACAACTAGCCAAGAAACGACACGCGGGGAGAAAACTGGCTTGAGAACGTCGGACGTGCAGTCGCTCAATTTGCCCTTCTCGAGAGATAAGAAGAGAACCAGTGTTGTCAGGGGAGTTCCATGTTGCAATGTGTATGCCGCAATATCAGGACCCCAACATTCCCAGGTTTTTCAGTAGCAGGACGACAGTAATAGACTGTAATTCAGTGGTGATGTTTAGAAGAGAACATTTTATTTATTTGAACATCAACTGTAAAGGGAATCAAACTTCAACGTGCCTTACCCTGACCCTCTGATTTGCTAATTCCTTAAAAGATGGCAAAATGCTCAAAGTTGAGGACTGATAAAAATTTAACCGCAGAGGATAAATTCAACAAATTGAATATGAAAGGATGAGGAACTGATGAGCTCTGTTCTGTAGTGAACAACCGATATGTTTGTGTAGATCACCAGTCAATCAGATCCATCAAAGTCGGCTATTTGAATCAGTCTCGGTACACTTTACTTAAGTATTGATTACATGGTTACAGACAGCCGCAAACTCTAAACGCATAAAGTGAATGAAGAGTTATGGCATAGTTACTCCGATGCTTACAGAGCTCATTGAACATGGAGCATGAAGCTATGTATCATGCCGGTGATAAAACTTTCCTTTCTGCACCATTGGGGTTAGGGGTGGGGGGAGGGGATGCATCCAAACATCCAAAGGTTAGTATATCAGATAAATGATAGGCATGATAGACATAGTGACAGTTGCCTCCCCCCCCCCCCTAACCACATTTCCACCCAAAACCTTTATCAATATCGTTGAACAGATTAGTATCCCTAGGTTGGTGAGCGCATGAGTAAGAATAAGGGGATGCTATTGATTGTACACAATTGTGCTCGCGCCCTCGTTACGATCGACCTAAGCCGCTGAACTCAATCGGCCGTTCTCTCAACGAACAGTTCCAACAAACATTGCCGTGACATACATACAGCGTCAAGCCGAACAAGAAACGATACACTCACCATTTGCCTTTTGAAACGTTTCTCATTGCCAACATCAAGCGAGTAATATGTGGCGGCTGCTATGCCCACCACCGCACCGGCTTTCGCCAGTCGAGAGGAGAACATCCTGAGAAATGAATCTGATAGACCTTCATCTCGACTACTGTTGTTATACACAGAATAAACATTTGAACATAGTACAAAAACAATAACAACGAAAATTACAGTAACTACTTTTACTGAAGGACCAGATCACTCTAGTCATAAGCAAATGGCGGGAAAGATGGCGAACGATAACAATCAATAAGGAGCAATAAAAAAAGACCAGAAATATTTGTAATCATCTCAGTTCTCATTTTAACAATCCGCTGCCTCATCTGCACAACAATAAATTATGTTGGCAAGAGAAAAAATTATTTATTTCCTTAAGAATTTCGTTGAATAATGCATTAGAGTAGCAATCAACAAGTACGAGTTTATGAAAGGTTGGACGTAATTTATAAGTACCAGAATGTAAAGAACTTCCAGGACAGTTCATTTTCAACAAAATTACTTCTTTTTAAACTAAAAACTAATTTATTGACCATCACCGGTGAAGGGAGGACAAAATGGGAACTCAAAAGCCCACTGGCACACACGAGGTGATCCCGTTATGATAGATCAAGGACCGAAGCACATTCAAACACTAGCATGAGGAGGAATGAAATTAAAAGTCATGACGCGGCCAAACAAATGACAATGAAATGGTTCACTCAAAGTCGAATAATCAAGATATCGATAACAGATGAGCATAGCGTTCATGCTTTTCTTGAACAGACTCATTAGTTTTCGCTCATTATGAGACGAAGCACTTGAAGATGGCCCCAGTGCTTTGTAGCTTTGCCATCTATTGTAAATTCATCGAAACTAATATTGACTATATCTAGACACAAAATAATCGATAAAGTCTATACTATACATATCACAATACAAATAAAGGATAGAAGGATGAAGCGATTTGACGTTAATCAATCCCTCCGTCTGAATGATGCGCCCCGCACTCGACTGTCACTCAAAATCGTAGTGGTGTAATGAATGCCTTTACAATAACTTACGGTGGCTAGCCGATGTACAAGTCAGTGTTTTTCCATTCAGACCGGTCTGGTACCGTTTAAACGGTCCCGGAGGGATGGAAGGCTTGGTTGGCCTAGGCGGATATTGATCCGGGATTCGAACCCCTGATCATGCATGTATAAGAGTTCTAAACCTCCTCCGACCCATCGCAATATAAAAAAGACACTAGTTGCCTATGGAATCCATATAACCCTTTGACACCTTCTTTTTTCGATTAAAACAGGTCTTTCTGTTCACTGGCCAAAATGTGCAGGATAATTGATTACCAAAAAGTGAAGGACACACGCAGCACGGTTGCAAATTGATCTTGTTGCAAAAATACTTATATTCATTCATTTTTCAATTATTTTGCATACTGTGTCGTTGATAGCTTTACAACAAATCGAAGAAATCGAATCAAAAACACTGATAACCTGTAAGCGAAGCGAAGTCATTACAATCTACAGCAATACAATCCATTTAAAAAAAANAAAAAAAACCTAAAAAAAATAAGAGAGAGTTATAGAATTTCAAATCAAATTGCTCTGTGAACTTCCGTTTAAGACCTTAAAAAGAGCAGGGGAAATGAAGCCACTAAATAAATTCCCTTAGCAAGTACGACTACTATAAGAGTTTCTAGATCTCTATTTGTTTAATATTTATTTATGTAAACGGTTGTTTATACGCTCAACAATGATCCAAGAGAAATATGATCCAACTTAGGAAGACAAAACACACAAGATGGTCGAAGGGAACGGCCTCCCCAGCATCTACCGATTCCGTCAGCATATCGTAATTAAAAGGAAGCTTAAGAGAGCATAGGATAAGCTTCCCTCGCATTTTCTTGCTTATATTCTTTAGGTGAAAACATTTTAAAAACAGTAACCCAGCAGGCCCTGAAATGGAAATATGATCACTTCACATTGGACTCCACCCCACAGACATGGAACACCATTTCAGGGAAAGAAGAGCGAATGAGAGATGAAAAGGATGAAAAACACGTGAACGTATGCTCGATGGCCGTCTGCACGTTACGCTATGTCTGTTGGGCGAAGATCATTGGTGAAAAGTCACGGGTAAATAAAAACTCTGCAGAGCCAACAGCGTGTAAAGTGGAATCGGATATTGATCATCTAGTAATGCGGTGTGCATAACCAGCTTTCTCATGTGTAAAATAAAAGGTCAAGACGAGGGTGGTGCAGCGACAAATGACACCCTTTCACACGTGCTTGGTCAAGGGATCGAAACTTGGACCGATATTTGCTCAGATCAACCAGGTCGTCCAGTCCCCAGGAACGGTTAGTTGGTAATGCGGGGCGTATCCCGAAGAAGAGCTGATTGATGCCAAAGACCTTATTCCTACCTCACAAAAATTGTGAAAATGGGTGAAAAATCGGGAGAATGAAGGAATATGAGAGAACACAAGTGATACTTCGATCTAGGGCAAGGTTCATAGAACATTGAGAGAAACGTCGACAATACCAAACTCGTCATGCTAAATTTAGATGGTAGCGGTTCGCCGCTGCCCATCTGACTAAAACTGTCTAAATAGGTTGTAAAAACATTCGGCGGAGATCAAACTTTATTGCCCTTTTTCATTCTCTGTAACAAGTTCGAAATAGTGTTTCTATGACGTGTTCCGCTGATCGACTATTTTCGCCGCTCTCTCCGCCACTGTTACAGCTAATTTGTTTATTTCCCTTTGAGATCGTTGTGATGTAGAAGGAAACACTGTGAATCGACAGGGTAAAAAAATCAAAAGATGCGCCATGCACCCATATCGGCGCGGTATTGAAGAAGGCCAATCTTTCAGTATTTGAGTTTTATTATTATTTCATTGTGTATTTGATTTATTATATTGTACACAACAATTATGTAATTTTTCGACTAGTTTAACGTTTTCAAAATCTAATTTTCCATCTACTGCAAAGATCATAGGCACAGGTATGAGTGAAACTATGAAAAAGAGGAAAACCAAAATACACGACCAGACAGAAAAAAGAAAGAAGTAGAAAGGTTCTACCGGTAAAAGGCCTTTGTAATAGGAAAACGTAAATGTGCATCCAGTGCCAAGATTTCAACAATAAACGGCAGGGAAAATTTTATTCTTTCAAAAAAGGACA